GAAATTTACATTGTTTGCAAGAAATTGATATCGTGTTTACGTGAACATGCTGCTTGGGGAAGCATCTCCAAACTCTACACAATGAGAGAAACGCGATGAAAAGCAGACTGCGCCGTCCCCTCCGTTTCGTGCGCTGGTTTCGCTTTCAATACATTTTCTTTTCTTTTTGGAGAGTCGCGCCAGATCGCTGCATGTTGTGATGGCATCTTTGCACGCTGCAAAACGCTCTGAGCTTCGTCATTCGGGAAACTTCGAGTATTTTCTATCAAGTCATCACGAAGTTACAGTTGATACCGTACCGTTATTAGTTGTTTAATCTCTTACTTCCCTCTACTCTTCAGTACTTCCTTTTGCACTGCGACTATGTCGAATACGTCTCATGAGGTGACCGCATAAATAGCTTATCGTTTCAAATATTTATACAGTGAAAGCGCGATATAACGCGCTTTCACTGTCTAAACCTTTATAAAGAAAATATATCAAATATACCGCGGATTTGAATATCCCGCGGGTCAAATCACGTCCCAGTAAAAAAAAAAAAAGTTAACTTCATGTTAAGTTCATATTGCTCGATTTTACATCGTCGAGCAGAAAGGAACAGGTGAAGCCATTCTATTTCAAGACATGCAATCGCTTGAAACAATTGGTTTCCCCCAACTTTCGTTACCCTGTTTTCACTGATTTAAGCTTAATAATGTAACGATGTTGTGAGCAACAATGGGCAACATTGCGACACGGGAAACACCGTCACCCAGAGTGCATTTTATATTATAACTCGGGTAGCCTATACTATTGTTATGTTATGTTAGAGTTATATTAGTGTTATTCGTTTCCCCCGACACCCGCGCTACATCGGGCTTTCACTGTACTCAAATTACTTTCCAGTTCTGCCAACCCAGGAGAGGCTTGCCTTGAGTCAAATTCATTTTTGGCCTAATTTTCTGAATTTAATGTTCATTCGTATGTTGCAGTAATTTTTTTTCCGGAAAACGGATTTTCTTTTCATCAATTTCCGTTATAGATGAGATTTATGGCACGGCATGTTTGCCCGAGGCTAGGAGTTTGACAGTCCGTGGAGCATAGAGAGATTGGTTTTTATTTAATGATAAACTTCAATTATTTACAATCAACGAATTTATATTTATTCATAAAATATGTGATTTGGGTGGTTTCCGTGATATTCGTGGACGAGAATAAAACGATCGACGGTTATGTATTTACCCGCAAGAGCATAATGTTAAGCCAAAAAGTATACACGAAAAGCTATTAGGTAGGAAGAAGTCTACAAAAGTTAAAGATGGAGACTAGATAACCGTGTATTATGGACCATTACTCGAACAATTATTCCCCATTATAGGAAAACTTGCAATTCAAGGGAATATGCCAATGTGCCGATATCAACATAGATCTAAGCAAGTGAAGCAGAAAATGCTTTCGAGCTTCACGCACAGTGCAGTAACAAGACTAATGATGAAGTCGCAATTTTCTGCTATTCAATGAAAATCAGATGCAGATGCACTTCCATAGAAAACTACATCTTGAAGCAGCGCGAAAACCCATTTTTCAAAGCCTTTCATTTCTTTAATCCCCCCTCTCCTCGCTCTCTCTACGGGACTCAATGACTTAAGGCCTAGGCCTACCTTTCTTCGATCAAAAAAGAATCTCAACCCTCGACTTGTGGGTCAATTAGACCAAGGAGGGTCGATCTCGAGGTCTTCGAGACATCGCATTGAGGACATGTAAGATCGGCTCATCCGGAGTTTCACGAACCATCTCGACGAGGCCCGAGGAGAGAATTCCTCCGGAATCAAAATGCGGGTTTGCCGCCATCTTATTCTTACAGTGATGTCCGAGCCCGACGTCTCCATGTCTCACCGTATTCGTCGGCCCGTGCTAATCAACGTTTCGATCTCGGTTCATCCCAAGAACTCGAACTTAAAATTTATCTTGCATTAAAAAACAGGAGATCCAGACACCGATACGAAGGCGGAAGCAGTCGCGATCCGACGTAACTCCAGCACGATTTCCGGCAACACTGCTGGATGGGACCCCCAGCCTACACCCTAAGCTTAAATGAGTGACAGCTAATTTCATTTTTCGTTGCGAAACGATGCGTCGCAAGCAGCAAAATCTATTAGCCAAAATCTTTCTATTGGTTGGAATACTTTTTTAGGAATCACCCCAGATTAGGCCAACCAGGGAGAGTTAAAAAAAAAAAATACCGGCATGAAATTGACAAATTGGAAAAGCGAGAATCTGTGTTCTCCACGACCATGGCGAATTGAAGCTTCAAATTTGCTGGAGTGATTCTGCGTTGGGGGGCGCGAAACATGCCCAACTTCGTTCTTCTCACTTTCCTCTCAAAGAGGAAAACGAGAAAGTTGAATTTTGTGTCAGGTTGAAGAAAGTGAATTGGCGCCATCAAAGTCTACTGATATGCAGAAACTCCGAGACGACAGAGCGCTGACGGGAGGAGACGAGCGGCAACAACGGTCCTGGCGTCATCTCTCTTCTCTTCGGAAAACCTTGTTTGTTAGAGTGGCTGCTAGATGGCAGTTCGTCTACTTCGCGACGGGCTTTTCTGACTGTAGCTCTGCGTCACGCATATTTTTACATGCGCGATATCGTCAGGTGAGTTTTATATTGCTCACAAGTTCACGGATCCGAAGCAGAATATGCGATCTGCATAGTAAAAAAAATTTCCATGATATGAAAACGAAATTAAATTTCCATAATATGATTGCTCTACTGTTAAAAATCTCGCATGAGGACTTCGACCGTCATCTTCGAAAATCGAACCTTAGTTCGGTGAGGGACGCATCTGTTCGCTATGTAAAATGTAATTCGATTTCCTCTATTTAAGCTTAGCGCGCGGGCTGGGGTCCCGTCCCCCGGTGTTGCCGGATATCGTGCTGGAGTAACGTCGGATTTGTGACTGCTTCCGCCGTCGTACGGGGTCTTCACCAGCTTTTTAATGCATTAAATATTTTTATGCTTGAGTTCATGGCGTGCGGTGAGTTTGAAACGGTGATTAGCACGGGCCGACGGATACAGTGGGATAAGGAGATTTCGTGCTCGGACAACCCTGGACGAAGAGGATGGCGGGAAACCCGCGTTTCATTCCAGGAGGCATTCTCGTCTCAGGCCTCGCGGAGATCGTACGGGAAACTCGAGATAGGCCTACCGTTCGTCACACGTCCTCAGAGATGTTTCGAAGACCCCGAGATTGACCCTCCTTGGCCTAATTGACCACGTAAGTCGAGAGTTGAGATTCTTTTGAATGAAAAAAGGTAGGCCTAGGCCTAACGTTCTTGAGCCCCAAGTGGGGGAAGGGGTTGAAAAATGAGAAAAGCCTTTGAAAAATAGTATTCACATTGCTTCAATATGTCGTGTTCTATGGATCACTCTGAGTCAATATATGATTTCCATTTCGTTGCCGAAAAGTATGCCTTCACCAATTGGCTTCTCGTTGCACCGTGTCCCGGTTGCGTTGAGCCCGAAAGCATTTTCTGCTTCATTCGTCGAGATATCTCGATTTTTTTGCATCATGCCTTGAAATATCTAGTTTCCTAGCATGGGGAATAATTATTCGAATAATTGTCCATAATTCAAGATAAATGCGCTTCGAATTTCTCTTTCCCAGTGGGGCATGCCCAAAACCTCTTCTTTATTATTATTTTATAACTGCGTTCAGTTGATTCCAGTTTGGTCCGTGTATTTCGGTCAAAGAGTTCTGCAATGGAGTAATTTCAAAACCATCTCGTTGAAACGAGTCAGACACCCCCCCCCCCCCCAAATCCCGTAGATTCGAAGCTTCCGATTTCCTGGAGCGATTCTGCGTTGAGAGGGTGCGAAGCATGCACGACCGCGTTCTTCCAGATGCTCTCTAAGAGGAATACGAGAGAGTTCAATTTTGTGACAGGAAAGGATTGAAGAAAGGGAATAGGCGCCATTAAAAAGTCTAGCGATATGCTTCGAGACCATGGCGCAGGGGAAGACGAGCTGAAAAAGAGGTTCAGGCGTCATCTCTCCTCTCTACGGGAAACCTTGTTTGTTTCAGTGACTGCTAGATGGCAGGTCGTTCACGTCAAGGTTTCCTAACTGCAGCTCTGCTTCATGCATATTTTGACACGTGTGATATCTTCAGTTGAATTTCGTTTTTTTCTGTCGCAAGTTTATGTTTTGAGACGCGTTCACTTCATTAGAGTCTGCAGGAAGAAAACAAAAGAATTGCTGCGTTCGCAGAGTTACAAGTAACGTTTACAGATTCCAAGGGGAATATGCGAATTGCAAAAAAAATTGTTTCGATGATATGGTGGGGCCACCGTGAAAAATCTCGCATGAGGCTTCGAGCGAAATTAGCTGTCGTTCATATGGGCATAGGTTGCAGGCTGGAGTCCCGTCCCCCATTGTTGTCGGATATCGTGCGGGAGTTCCTTCGGATTTTGACTGTTTCCGCCTCCGTATCGGTATCGAAGATCTCAAGAAAGAACATTTTGACGGGAATGAGAAGAGTATCCCCCCCCCCCCGATTTTTCTCATTTTCCGAGTTTTAATACTGCGTTCAGTTGATTCCAAGTCGGTCGCTATTTTTTCGGTCGAAGAGTTACGTAAAAGTATAATTTAAAAACTAGCTCGTTTGTGATCCAGGTCTATAGTCTCCAGGACTATATTAAATTATTATCATTTAAAAAGTGGTGATGCTCTCTGGAAAGAACATGTTGGCGGGAATATGGAGAGCTTCTCCGAGTTTTTTTCTTTTCTCTATGAGATGATGCCATGCTGACTGGCCCCCATGATACTGAAAAAAAAAGATCAAAACTTTCCGTTCCCATCCCCTCGATGGTATGGAAGTTAAGTGCATCCGGCATTCCAGCTGGACAAATACGCGACCCCAGTCGAGAAAGAGACGTCAATTTAACCAGCGATTTCTGTTACTTTTATCTGACACTCAACTGCCGCGTGCTTTCCGATCGAGTCGGCGAAAATGAAAAGCTCGGTTCTCTGGAAGTCCACTCCATTTTATTCTGGCCTCTCGTCGCGTCACTCCGCGCGAGTCTGCGCCGTGATGCGATAGGAGTTGAACGCGACGGTATTCAAAGCCTCACGCACGAACCCCTCGACGTACGGCATGGTGTTGTCCAAGACGACCTGCGACACCGACTCCACGAAGCAGCCGCAGCACTCCCGGCGCGTCCCCGAGAGGCACTGCCCCGCGCTGACCCCGATCGCGAGCGGGTCGTCCCGCCTCACCCCCGACAGCCCAGACCCCGCACACGGCGAGCACCTCATCAGGTTCTGCACCGTCGTCCTCAGGCCCGCCGTCCCCGTGTGCGGATTCGCCCGGTCGAAGCCGTACCTCTCCAGGAACCCCAAGGCGCCGCTCACGGTCGACTGCAACCCGTCGAAAAACGTCGTCACCGTGTCGGGGCTGAACTGCCGGGCCGCGGGGAATTCGTCCAGGTCTTGCCCCCGAGCGAACGATCCCAACAGCATCACGAACAGGCAAATAACCTTCATTCTGAAATCAACAGCATTGCGAATCGAGGGAATGTCATCGCATTCATTTCGGAACTATGGATAACACAAGGAAAAGCGGTAACGGCAAAGCGTTGAACTTGGACGGTCTGAAATATCCAATAGCAGGTTGAATCTCGTGGGATAGTGCCTCTTCGAGTGTGGCGCACTAATTAAGTGCGAGAGAGTAATTGTCATCGACTTAACTATTTTATTTCTTTATGATGATGGAACCAGTTTCGGGCCCCGCAAAGAACAATATATATTTTCAGCGGCGTAGGGAAGGGGGGGGGTTTAGGGGGGTTAGAACCCCCCCCCTGGGGCTTCTCGGTCAGTGACATTGACAGGCATATTTGAACCTTCCTTGGGAATTCCAATTTTAGCTATGCCCCTTCGAGGAAAGTCTGAGGTCTGTCCACACACCCAAGATGCCAGATCATGATTTCTTTGAAAAGGTAAATTCCGGGTAATGGAGCTATCAATAGAAGTAGGGTTGGGGAGTCTACCTGGCCTCAACCCCCCCCCCATCCCCTTGTCGATTTCCTGCCTACGCCATTGTATATTTTCCTTCAATGTAAATATATGGATAAATGCCACGAAACCCGTCGACATGGGTTTGAAATTTTGCACGATAAATGTGATCTATTAATATATTGATATTTACGATTCCCGTTCCCGAAGAAGGAAGAAAGAGCTCACCTGAGGACTCGACCGTCGAGAAGAATCGTCAGATTGCTGCGATATCGCTGGTGGAACTCGACTGAAGATTGGGGGGGGCTCGGGGTGAAGTGCGGGGGAGGGGGGGAGGGGGGAGATCCGGGAGGGAAACGTGTCGGTTACGTGTAGGGACGGGAGTGGATGTCGCAGCGGTGTCATGCCGTTCCTGTGAACTCATTGGGATGCGCGTGCAGCAGCGTTGATCACAGGCTTCGCTGAGCACTATCCGGGTTTGAATGTGGATTTTTTTTTGCGACGTTGTTTCGGGGGGGGGGGGGAGAGGAGCGTTTTTCCTCATTCGAGTCGCTGGGATATTCGCGACTTTTGGTCTGTCTTAAATACTTTTTTTTCTGTATGAGAATTGAATCAGTTTTTTTTTTTCCTGATTGAAGGGAGACGGAAGTGAAACAGACCCCGCGCACGCATTAGGTTAATCGCCTCCTAAAATGACAGCCAGAAAGGCATTGGAATTTTGTATGTGGGGTTTTCCTCTTTTTTTTTGCAAAGCGCGAAACGCTGACTTCCACGACCTCCCTATATCAAAGACAACATTCACGCTGGGGGGAGGATTCGGAGGACTCTTTCCGCTGTCGGAGTGAATGGGAGATTCCCTTCGAAAATGCCCCCCCCCGCGATTCACCTGTGAAGCTGCAGGTGGACATAGGTGGATTCTGAGTGATCAAGGCGGATAAGGGGGAATCCAAGTGAGCCCCGGAGAACAGGGGATAGAGATGAGCCGGCCTATGTGGGTCTGTACGGATCTGTGTGGGTCTTTGTGCGTTTGTGTTGACCTGTTTGGATCTGTGTGGGTTTGTGAGGGCCTGTGTAGGCCTGGGCTCGTCCACGCGTGCGTCTTTAACTTCTCCCCTCTATGGGGAAATAAAATTTGAGGAGACCCGAAAAAAAGAGGATGAAATGGGTAAAAAGGGCGCCTCGAAATTAATTATTGGTCCTAAGGCAATCATCTTTTTCGTAATTTTCGAATTTAAATGTAATCTTTTTCCAATCGAAGAGGTGAGCAAAATTCAGATCATGGTGGGTGTGACGAAGACGAGGTGTGACGACATCTGTCAACCGTTTCTCTGGAACCAAAAAAATCATAGTCCGCCTCATTTCTAACAGGGAGCTGTTAACAGGTGGATCGTGGGGCTGGCCGAGGGTAGGGGGGAAGCGTCGGTATAACTCCGCGGGTGAGATACAGGCCTCCCTCCACCTCCTAAAAACATTCCTAATGTTGCATCTTATTGAGTTTCTTTTGACGGTGTCGTTTCCAGCCGAATCATTTTCGTACCATTTAGTTTTCAAGGGGCACTGTAGCGCCCATTACCTTTCTTCAACCTCTTCCGGCGACAAAATTCAACTCTATCGTATTCCTCTCGGAGAGCATCAACAGAAACGAAAATCGCTACACTTCTTCCTCTCTCAGCACAGAATCGCTCCACCAAATTTGAATCTCCATCTCCCCGGGATAATGGAGATCGCTGAATCTTGCTTTTCGGAGATGTGAATTTCGTTCCGGTATTATTATTTATATTTATTATTTATTTTTTCACCACTCCTGAGTGGGGTGAAACTCCCGAGTTCTTCCGGTTGCATTCATATTGTTACACTTCCTTGGACGACCACCTTACTACAAAAATTGATGATCCAGTCGAAAATGAACTCGGGAGTCCGCCTCGACCTTTTGAGATACCATGCCCAGCCTGCTGACGCGAGGGAGTGAGCGAGATTGAAGCGAGGGCGAGTTGGCGTACGATTCTCTTTCTAATGTTTGGTCGGGAAGAGGAGAGAAGCTCAGGGCTGGGAACTCCCGTGGACGGGGGATGGGGGGTATTCTGGGAGGGAAGAGGCAGAGAGGGAAGGGGGAGTGGGGAGGGTGGAGGAGCAGGGGAGAAGGGGAGGGTAGGAAGAGAGGAGAGGAGGGAGGGTAGGTGGAGGGGAGAGGAGGGAGGGGGGGGGATAGTTCGACCATTCTTCCAGATGGAGGAGGAGGGAGTGGGGAAAAACGTGTGCTGATAGACGACCTAATAATTCCCGGATTGAAGGGAGAAAAAATGCAATATCATGTGTCAATACCATCATTGTTACATTTTAACATGTACGCATCTGCAATAAAAGGAACATAGAGGCGAAAGAGAGGTGTAAAACCGACGAAGATCGACGATGAATTACGTCGGTTGCAGTTCGAAAAAGAAACCCGCGAAGAAATTCCAGATTGTTGAAGGGATGCTGATAGGAGAAAACCAATTTCGAGAACACAAGGCCAAAATAATCCACGACGGATTTCAAGGATCCTTCGGGCCACCATGGTGTCCACACGGGAGATTCTTTCGGTTAAATTGCTAAACGGTGTCATTCGTTGAAGTTACGCCTTAGATGTGGGAGGGGTTGAGAAAGTTTGCGTCACTCCTAAGAAACTTTAGATTTTAGAAAAGAAACTTCTGGAATATTTTGGCAAAATTGCGCGGAATTGTATGCAATTCGCCAAACGAGCTTCATTCCATACTCCGATCGACGCAAAAAAACCAGCACGAAAGGACCCATTCCTTCGTAGATCGATTCTCTCGGCTCGCAAGCGGAGGCGAATCTGGCACCGTCGACGAATGGATCCGTCGGGGGAAGTGTCGAGTGTCACCACGACGAGGTGACAGTGGGCCACAAGATGAGAAGGTGATAGTGGGCCACGAGGACGAAACGGACGAACTCGAGGAAGCAAACGATGACGAACACGACATCGGTGGGAAACGGCTTCTCAGTGTCCATCTTTGAGGATTCTGGAGAAATCTCCAGTGACGTCATTCACTTCGCCTTCAAGTCAGCTCACGACTCAAAATGAGATTCTACGAGAACGGGATGAACGCAGGTAATGAAATTCGGATATGGGAATCGCACGACCCGAATCGGTCTCCAATCGGCCCGCGCAGGCTAGAGGCGTGTGCGCAAGTGGAAGGCGTGAGTGCAAGTGTGCGCATTCTACTCGCGAATACGAAAGGGTCTGAAGACCTTTTTCAGTCACTTTCACACACTTCCATGAATTCATTGGAACCCGAGGGATCGCGATCGTGCAGTCGTTCCGACCGCGAATGCGATTCGCGAGTCATACGAGACTCGTTTCGTGAGTAACGCTATTTCTCTTCTACATCGCAGATTAACGTAAAAACGCTCTCTGACCTGGCACAGAAAAATTATTATTTTTAAATAGATTATGTTTGGCAGGCTGAGAATGATTTTCCTTCTTTCGTTCTTCGTTCTTATACTTGCATAAAAAAACTAGGATTACGAACAATTACATGTTCATTTCACATTCACGAGTCACGAAAAGAGCTTTAGCCAAATCCTGCTTGAGTCAAAACTAGAGAAAAAGTTTATTGCATCACGCAAGATGTGAGTCGTGCATATAATCCAAGCAGGAAGGTCAACTCGCGCTCCTCGACCCGAGTTAACCTCCTCTGACCTCCTCTTCCCGCTCCAAGCGAGGGCAACGAGAGACTGACCAGAGCGGGAGAGCGGGCAGTCCTCGCGTGGCCCCCTCAAGAGATGGACGCTGGGTCCCTCGTTGTACCTAAAGGTCCCTCGACGTTGCAGTGCGAGCGCGGCCACTCCGAGCGAAGATCTGAAGGGAATGACGATGCGTTTTGATCGGTGTTTCAGAGGGAACGGAATACCATTTTTTGCGCAAGGAATTATTATGTATCTACCAAGAAGAATGAGAAATGAAATCGATGAGTAGATCGAGAAATAAGTGTGGATCTTGGACATTTAACAGTAATGCAGGAAGGCAGAACTTCAGTCAACTTCAGTCGTCTACTCTTGAGAACGTCGCATCAAGCAACGACAGGTCCACGTATCTCCAGTGCAAATACGATGAGGCAGGTGAATTCGAATGCAGTTCGAAAAAAATAATCCTCGAAAAAGAATAAAAACTTAGGAAGGACAGAAATCCCATCCGGGAAAAATCATCATGCGAACCCAGAGACCCAGAGGGGGAAAAACAAGGATGGGTATACGTAGAGATGGAATCAGAAATTCAATGGGGCGTAGTAGAAACCGCGCCAGACCCAGCGGGAGTTCTTGTAAGACACGGGGGCCAACTGGACGAGGGAGATATTGGCCTGTTGGCAATTATAATCATCCAAGGTGCATCCACCGGTGCTGTTGGTGCCGTTCTTGAACTGGAGGCAGGGATTCTTGAGCACGTCGAAAAAAAACCTTCCCCGTGTTGTTCGCTTTCTCGTTCCCCACTTTCTTCAGGAAGCTCCGAAATCTCTCGTTGCAGTCGCAATGTATCCTTGCAAATAATGACGAAAATTTCACGATGGGGATCGACAGAACCAAAGACGAAGGAGCCGAGTCTCTCATGGAGAAGGAGTGTGAGTTGTAGATGCCGTACTGCGAGGTCTTGCTATCGATGTATATGGTGCAGGAGTCGTGAGCCCGACAGCATCGATCGATCTAGAATTCCTTCAGTCTTGGTCGAGCGTTCGTAGCGTGAGGACGTGTTGGAGGTTACTCTCGAGGTTCTGACAGCTAAGTCGTGAGTTAGTTGTTACCTGGCTACTTTGTAGCAGTATTAATAAATTTTCTGATAGCTACCTCCAATTTCACATTAGATCAGTAACAATCAGCTTAATTACTTTAAGTATTAGCACATTACTCGTAGTATTCCTTTTACTACAAGGACTAGGACATTACAGTCTTACCGGGTTATAACTAGTGTGAAGCACTGCAAAGTACAAGTCTAAAGCAGTAGGAGTGTCAATAGGGATCAATAACATTAAGTAAGTAAGATGCCTAGGATGTGTAGATGCGTTCGTTGCGGGGATTGGGTAGGTGGGACTAGTCAACGAGAGGTATGCCAGGTATGCAGAGTTTGTAGCTTGGAGGAGCGACTAGGGGAGCTATCGGGAAGGATCATTAGCGTGGAGGAGGAGATAAGGGGGATCAGGAAGGAGGTGGGCGAGGTACAGAGGGATGATTTAGTGGCGAGGCTAGTTAGGGTGGAAGAGGCACTCCGGGGGTTCCCCAGCCTTCCGGACTTTACTGGGAGGGTGGCCCTTTCGTCCTTTGACAGCGCGACG